GACAGAGAAAAAGAGCTTGAGTAAATGGATGGCGGAACCGGCTTTAGGAGAAATAGCAGAAATACAATATTTATTAAGAGCTATAAAGGATAGGAAATTGTGGAGGGCCATTATCGTCTGCGTCCTGAAAAGGTACGGCACATAAAGAAGAAGACAGCTTAAAATCTCAAATTTCGTAGAGTATATATATATATACAAAAAATATTCAAATATCACTGCTTCCCTACGTCTTAAAGTTTCATGCGGACGATCAGTTTTTTCTTTACTGCAGTCTCAGAATCTACAGGCGGCTTAGGGGTCAACACATTCAATTCATATATATATATATATATATATATATATATATATATATATATATATATATATAATTATTTTTAAAAGATGATTCCTTCGCTACATAAGAGTTCTCATGTTTCAAAAACGAGAGCCGAAAACCTCAATATAATTATTAAAATTAATTTAAGGTAAAGTATCAAGCCCTGTTTCATCCTCAAGCGAAAATTTAGGAATAACCAATCTTGAAATTTACGCAACTTTATAAGCATGTTCATTCGCAAAATGAATTACTATGGAATCGGCTGGTAAGGGGTCTAAGAGATAATTTTTATCCACATATCAGTCCCCTTCGGAAAGAGGTCAAGCTGAGATAGGGTGGGGGCATTTAGGTGAACTACAGGAGTGAATGACTGTTTCTGAAGAAAATGAACTTTATTTGTAATTTTTCGTATATATATATATATATATATATATATATATATATATATATATATATATATATATATATATATATATATATATATATATATATATATATATATATATATATATATATATATATATATATATATATATATATATATATATATATATATATATATATATATATATATATATATATATATATATATATATATATATAAATATTATATATATATATATATATATATATATATATATATATATATATTGATGCATGTTTGATTAAATAATATAGACAAGTTTTGCTACTTATTTTAAGTAAGTTTGTTTCAGATTGTCTGATAAGCTTAATAACATTATCATTGAAAGTCGAAGGGAAATCACCCTATTGATACATGTTTAAATCCAGTCTAAGCTTTTGGCTTACATAAGCCATTATCAAAGATGACAATTTCATTTCAATATATCAAACAATACACGGACGAAACAATAATGATAGTCTGTTTTTGTTGCATAAAAAATTTCAAAGCAACGACAAACTCGTGTATACGAAACGCGGAAGTGAAAATCGTTCGCAGCTCGTGACGTCACACATGACCACGCGAGAGTGAAAACGAGAAGTATTAATTATGGGAAGCCGTTGGTATAAACCAATGGCTTCTGTTATCAGTTATAGGCATTTAAGAATATTTGTGGAGATTTCATAGGTTATTTTGTTCAGGTTAGGTTTCAACTGTTTTATGTATATAGCTTCAAGAATTTTTGGTTTTGTTTATTGTTTTCATGTTTAAGTATAGTTTGTTTTCAACAAGGATTTTCCGGAATTGTGTACTGGCCGCGTACACAATTCCGGAAAATCCCCGTTGAAAACACAATTATACTTAATTTTAGCTGCAATTAAAACATATTTTTGCTTGTACTAACAATTTTACTCCGACTCGCATAAATTACTTGACTCTGACAGAAGCAAAACTTACGAGTATCTTTAATAAGGAATCGGTTTCTTATTGTTCTATGTGCTAGTCAGGACTTTAGCGATAATGGCTCTCCACATTTTCCTCTCTTTTGTCGCCCTCAATAAGGTGTTTTTTTCACCATCCCCCCTCAGTCCTTGTTCTGTCATTCATTTATACAAGTTCGTTAATTAGGTCACTCGTTACTTTCAACTAGCCATTTTGCTTTCAATATGTCCTGAGAGTGTCGAATTCTCTAAGACCTCTTTCCTCATTATGTGTCTTAGAAATTTCAAGTCTCTTTCTGATCCCAAGTGTCAGCATCCTTTTCGTTTCAGTTTTCCTTACACATATCTAAATACTTTTTTGAGTAAAATTCCATACGTTTTGATGTTAATAACCTTTTGAACTACAGAATCTGGTCTTCACCAGAGAAAGTTTTCTTCATGAAAGCCTTTTGCAGTGATCGAAACATGCAATGCCGAATGCAGTAAGGATAACACAGTAAAGATTTGGAACTCGATTTTATTGATAAAAAAAATACAATCAATTTAAATACACCAAAGTATTTTTCTTATTGGAAATATTAAATGTAATCTATTAACTTGGAATTAAAGCTAAAATAAAAATATGAAGAAATATTTTTCAAAATGCATTTAAAATTTTAGATATTGCGTTTCTTAAGGGGGTACCTACGGCCGAAACGTTGTGATAAATATGGCGACAAAGATGAGGACGATAGTCCGAATAATGTAAATAATTGCTCTTAATTGTATTATCTTTTTATAGTTGTCTGTTTTGTATGGCTTTCTCTTAACATTATGGACGAAATAATGCGATTATTGGAGGTTTTTGAAAGTGTTTTCTATATATATTCCTTCTTCAGGTAAATATTGGGGGCTGCAGATTCTTAGTGCTCTTAAATAGAATCTTATAATTTTTACAGAAAAAGATTCCTATAATTATTCCAGAATAAAACACACACACACACACACACACACACACACACACACACACACACACAAATAAACAAACAATAGTCTTATGGCCATATATAGCACGTTGAAACACCGCTTCTCGTATGATCACCGAACTTAACCAATGCCGAGCCTGGTCAGTGCTCATATGCAAGCTTGGATGTGTGGGTGGTGCAATGAATAATGGCTTGGAATTGTTAATCGGAGAGCCGAGTTCCAATTCCAGTCGGGTTCGTTATATTCACTTACGCGCAAACACCCTTGGGAAAAGCTATGAATCCACCGCTTCTTCCCCCCAATCTATGGGTTAAATAGTAAGACATGTATCACTAAACTCATAATTAAGTACAATATATTTAGATTTCGGCATTAAATAACCCATTTAAGTTGAAAAGCCGCTAAACAAAACCAACCAATACACAAAATAGAAAAAGAAAAGAAAAACAAAATCGAATATTTGATCAGATTTTGAATAGTTTGAGCCGATAATTTTTCAACATCGTCTTGTCGATTTAAAATTAATGGTAATGCTAATGGTGAGATTCGCCGTTTACTTATAAGGAAAGATTCGGTTAGCAATTGAAATTTATAAAATCTTTCTCTTAAAACAGGTTATGTTTTCAGATAAATAACTTTCTCAAGTCCCCTGTTATTGATCTTTTTCTAGAACTGATGAGAGTTTTCTTTCTAACCATTTGTTTCAAGTAGTGTGGAACATTCTCATCTTGATTATATCATTGTTTTCTCTTCGACTTACATGTGCTATCCATTTTAGTTGTTACTGCTGTTGAAAGCCCTCAAGTGATGTGGTTTCTGTTACTTGGTGAAATTATGTGTTTGCGATTCTGTAGAGCCAGTCACATGAGAATTGATGAAGGATAGTCCTCTTCAAGATCTCCATCCTGAGTATGACGATGAACTACATCCGGCAGCAAGGTCTCTGATCGTGAGAATGGAGGTTGTGAGGTGCGTATATTACCTCATAATTACTGTTGTTCATAGGTCCACCTTGACCCAGGGTGGTCGCACCTGGTAGGGTCCCAGCTATGGGTCAACTCGGGTCAAGACATAAAGATATAAAAATACATTAGAAAAAAATTACCAGCAATACATTTTCATAGTAAAAATATTACCAGCAATCATAGAAAAAAACCTACTCTCTACACATTTTCATAGTAAAAAAATTAAAAAAAAAAAAATTACCAGCAATCATAGAGAAAAAACTACTCGCTATACCTTTTCATAGTAAAGAAAAAAAAATACCAGAAATACATTTTGGGAAAAAAAAAATAGTACCAAAAATAAAATTTCGGTATTAAATGACCCATAACGTGTCGATATGACGTTAAAAAAAAAAACCAAATCAATATTAAAGACCTTTTAATCATTGATCTTAGAAAACGGCTAGAATAAAGCTGAGAGTAATCCTTTCTAAACAAGTTGGACGCCATGTATGACATCCATGTAAAAGTCTAGACCTGACACAGCTGTTTAAGAATGTGACTCAAGTACTTAGTTTAATGTTTCGTTTTTTTTGTTTTATTTACTTTTATTTTTTGTGGCTTCTTACGGCGCTGGGCAAATGTATCTCTAAGTGAAATATATTCCTGATCTCCTAAATTTATTCATACACAAAGCAAATTGAAATTATAATAATATTTTAAAGTAAATCATATAATTGTCAATGAAGATACCTAAATCTAATTACCCAAAAACAGTGAAATGTAATTTATAAACCAGTCAAAAATACTAATTTAAATCAGAATTAAATGTCAATCGTTATTTTCGGTCTTTTTTAATTATTGCTTTTTTTTTATTGCTTTCTTTCTTTCTTTGTCATAAATTTGAACACTCAGTAATTCCTTGTGTTTTAGTGGCTTTATTGCTTTGCTTGGGGTGAAATGAATAAAAAAAAAATTAAAAGTAGTTAAATTTAATTTATTTAAACATAATTCATTCAAGGTGAACAAAAAGAAAGTTTGTCATTAATAATGCAGGGGAAATAACTCAAGTTTAAGATTATCGCTGATTTTAAATTACCTCCCTTAAAAGTGGAGCCTATCTGAATAATGTTTTTTTTTTTTTTTTTTTTTTTTTTAGTAATTATCGATAGTGATTAATTTCATTTTTAATTATAGAACTGGTTTTAATAAGAATTAATTTAATAAGAATTTAATATATCTTTTTATAACAGAAGACTAACTATTTGGCCGAAATATATTTATGGTGATATTTTTATCCGCATTCGTTTCTAGAAGAACAACTTTAATTTTCCAAGAAAAGTAATTATAACTTTTTGATGGCAAATTAATTTTCAAGATATGAAATTTTAGCACAAAAAATATTATTACTTTATGAATTTGTTGAATAATTAAATGTATTCATAAGATGAGTAATAACTGAGATTGATGATTTGCAACACGCTTTCCCATGAAATTAGATAGATAGATAGATAAATAGATAGATAGATAGATATAAACAGACTAAGATAGATATAGAAAAGTGAACAGAGTAAGATAGCGAGCGAGATATATATGAACAGACTAATATATATAAATTGTAGATATATATGAGCAGATTAAGATTATATATATATATATATATATATATATATATATTTAGTTTATGAAAAACTAGGTAATCCGTATGGGTAATCCTAAGGACGATAAAATCCAGAGAGCTCAATGTCTGCTAACTCACTCATATCTTCTCTCTCCCCGCCTCACTTCCTTACTTCGTTAATTTATATATGTTTAATACGACCCGTCAAAAATGTGTAAATTTTCTTTTCATTTTTTGTTTGAAGTAAAGTCTGATGATCCGTACTCCTTTAAAAGGGCTGTGGTGAAATAATTTATTACATGCAACCTTGAAGTGGTCTGTTTTAATTTATATATATATATATATATATATATATATATATATATATATATATATATAAATTAAGATAGCTATATATATATATATATATATATATATATATATGATGTAATGAATATGCGTACACCTGGGTTCCCCCTGACAGTAAGATGAACGGCTGGTGTCAGCCATAAATACAGACTGATGTGGAGGTACATGGACGACGCCTATTGACTACGCCTATTGCCTACGCCTATTGGCTACGCCTATTGCCTACCACTACGACGAGGACCAGTCCATTACGGTTACCTGCTAGATTGTCCTACTCGGTTACAGTAGTCCGCAACCACTTTGCTACTTCGAACAAATATATCCTTTTCCGGGACATATATATATATATATATATATAAGTTATGAAGAACTTGGTAATCTGTATGGGTAATCCCGAGGATGAAATCCTGAAAGCTCAATGTAAATCCAGAGCTAATATTTAAAAAAAAACAGACCACTTTAAGGTACCATTATAATAATTTATTTCACCAGAAATAATTACAAATTGCATTCATAAATTAGATTTAAAGATGTTACCGAAGCTATTTTTTACAATATTAAAAAAGTACGATCGGTCGGGAAAACAAACTGTTAAAATTTAAAATATTTCTTTAATATGTTCTCTATAAATGTGTTAATAAATATAGTATTTAACTTATATTAAATCCCTAAACTATCTGTTTTAAAAACATTAAATATTTAAATTGATAGCAAAATCAAATTAAATTATTCGTTATTTTAGACATCTTAACTACTATCAAGCATTAAAATCTATTCTTTACATAAATTGCTAAAACCCAATGACAGCCTCTTTCTCTTTACTTTCCTCTCCCTCTTCTTTCTTTTTCCTTTTTCCTTTTCTCCCTTCTCCCCTCCCATTTCAATATATCACTTCCGTTAAGTTAACCGTCTAAATAGGTCAAGGTCTGGTCACTCCTCCTCCCCTAATACAAAGTATGCTTGATACCAAATTAATCCCTCCCTATACTCTACCATGTCTCTTTAACACTCTCTGTTAAATTACAAAAACTTACTGATGTGGGGCCAAAGTTGGGACCACAGAAGGAAAACACGGAACACGGATTAAATTGTAAGAAAGATATATTAACAACAGGTTACAGAGATAGTGTAAGCGGAGCTTACTATATGTTAGTGTCCAATACTGGTAGTCGTGCGCGGCTCTCACTGTGTCTCTCTCTTGAGTGTTGTGTTGCATACTTAATATACACCTGGAAGAGTCTATTGTGTAGGTAGTTCCGGTCTCACAATACCCCCTTCCAAGAGTTTTCTTTTTGAAAAGGAGAAAAAAAAAAAACTGTTAATACTTTTTCCTCTTGGGATTTACGTCGAGCGGTTGAGTAAATTTCCTTTTCCTTCCTGAGCGTCGCACTTCAGGAGAGACTTGGGGCATGTCGAGATCGAACTAGACATCTTGATGCGTGAGCCACAGCTTTTCGCGAACCATCTGGCAGTTTATGTAACCTGCAAGCACCAATGCCGTACGAGCTTGCATCACTTGCGACTATGATGTCGAGACTAGGGTCGTAATGGGTGAGGGAGAGGTCTGAAGTAAGAGTTTTCTTGATCTTCTCGAATGCGTCTTGGCATTCCGGGGTCCATGACCATGGTTTATCCTTTTTTAAAAGTTGGTTGAGAGACCCTCTCAAATTTTGCATGTTCTTAATGAACCCTTGGTAAAAGTTAGCTAGGCCGCGGAAGCTTTATAACGCTTGAACGTTATCTGGGGGCGGCATGTTTCTGATCGCCTTGGCTCGTATTTGGTTGGACTTTTTTTTACGTAGACCGTAGGTGCTGCCCACTCGCTGCAATCTGTTTTTGACAGAATACCTGCTTGTTCGAGTCTAACTCTTTGTTGATTTGCTCTAGAGCAGCGAAAGGGACATTCCGTTTCTTTTTGAATACCGGTTGTGCATCGTCCTTCACCTTGAACTTAGCTTTCATTTTAGTACATTTCCCAAGGGCGCCAGAAAAAACCTGGGGAAATTGTTGTTTGAGTTCCTTTTAGATTTACCAAATTGGACGTTGTACTTTGTATCTTGCGACAAAATGTACTCATTGGGCAATCCCAAAGATTGAATTTTTCTATCAATCTGTTCCAAATAAGTTAACTGAAGTTTTTTTCAATACGTAGGCTTTGAGCTTTTGGTAACTCCATTTAGTGTTACTGTAAGTATTACCTCGCCTAAAATGTTAATCTTTTCGCCAGGTACGGATTTTGCTGTTTTATCCGTTTTTAATAAGGTCGGCTTGTTCAATTTTCGCCAAGTACGTCAGTTAATAGTTGAAAGATCGGAACCCGAGTCAAGCTGGAATTTAATGGAATTATTGAAAATATCCACAGTTATATATTTCCTTAAATTCCTATCGGCAATATTGTCAGATTCAGCTTGCCTAATTTTATTTTTGGGTTTTCTCGTTCTGTTGTCGTACCAGCACGAAGTTAAAGTATGCCCACTTTTATTGCAATTTTTGCAATATTTTTTTTTGCTCTTAACTGGACAGAATTTCATCCAATGCCATTTACCACAATGGTAACATGGTCCGGGCGGTTTCTTTAACCTATTTGGGTTTTGGTTACTGCGGAATTTAGGACGAGATTTGCCTTTTGTCTTTTTGAGGGGAATAGGAGGTAGACTTGCTTCTGATTTTATTAATCTGAGTCACACCTGATTCCTCGATAATGTTTGAGTCACACTTTACAGATATTACTCTTTGACAGTCCTCTGTCAGTTTTTGGAGATTCAATCCTTGTTCGTTCTCAAGCTTTGTCAGTACCCGTCGTCTGACTTCGGCGTCTTCTGCTGATACTAGACCTTGTGCGAAAATCAAGAGCTTGAAATCATCGGCAGTCAGTTCGGCTAGTTTAAAATCATTACAGAGCTTGTTTACTGATGCTGCAAACGTTAGAAAATCTTGCTGGTTCTTCTTGACTGTGTTCAGGCACTTCCAACGTTTGTGGAACAAGGTTGTGTTAGGCCCGAATAGTTCCGATAGGAGCTTAAGGGTCTCTGAAAAATCCAAGTCAGTGGTTTTCTTGGGTAGTATGAAGTCTACGAACCTACTATGTTCTGTAGTTCCCAGTTTTCTCAATAGTAGACGTACCTTTTTTTTTCTGGGCCATTGTTCATAGTCTACGTTGAAAATATCTTCGTAGCGCCTGTAAAAAGCCTCGAACGTTTTGTCGTTCTCTGGTACGTATTCAAAGGTTTCCTTTGAATTGTAGATTGTACTCTGGGAGAATACTGTATCTTTTTCAGAGTTTGAGCCTTTTAATGCATTTACGAGTAATTCTTTAAGTTGTTTCTGCTGTAGTTCAGCATTCTGAAGCGTGATTTGTTGGAATTCCATTTGTTGTTTATGTAATTCGAAAAAATAGTTGTTGTTGTCTTTCTTCTGATTTTTGTTGCTGATCCAAATTTACTTTTAGCATTTGAGCAATTACTTTTTAAAATCTTCCATATTTAGGCAAACAAAATTGACAGCGGTTTTTTTGTTGCTTTGAAACCCGTGTACCAAGGGGAGGTACACAAAAAAATCTTGATAGGTTTTTTTTTTCTTTTACACACAAAAAATATGGACAGACAATTAGTTAAACTAAACTAATTATGTGTTTAGCTTTTTTGAGATTCCGTGATTCCGTTAATTTTAACGTAATTGTATAAATTTTCACCACACTTATGTATTTTTTTTTTATAGGAGATACATAAAGAGAAAACTCACCTCAGTGAATTTGAGGGGAGAATAATTTTATGCACGAGTTCAACTTTTCAAAAAATTTTCGATAGTTTTTTTCGAAAACTTGAGTACAATGATAGTACTTCTGCTCTTGTGTTGTCAGTTTGTTTTACGAACAAACTGTTTTTTTTTCTGTGTGTGGGTGTGTATGAAATCGTTCTCGTAATGTTATTTGGACAGACTTTAATATTCCGTAGATGTCGAATCGCTAGTTCGTCAATGCTGTTTGGTATCGGAATATATTTATATGTAGACGCTGGGTGTTGCGTTTAAATCGCTAATGTAGTAATACCAGCTTAATTTCTCGTTCAACACTGCTGTGGGAACGCGTGGAGTTTCTGCGTATTTTTCGAGTAATCTGTCGCTATTGATATGGTGAGAACGAAATTCTCGAATCTTTCTGTCGCCACTAAAGTGGGACTGGCAAGGTACTGCGGTTTTCGTTGTGAATGCGTTTCTCGAATTCTTCGTCGACACAAATGTGGGACTGGTAAGGCGTTGAGGTTTCGGCGTGAGTGCGTTTCTCGAATTCTCGTCGCCACTGATGTGGGGCCAAAGTTGGGACCACAGAAGGAAAACACGGAACACGGATTAGATGTAAGAAAGATATATTAACAACAGGTTACAGAGATAGTGAAAGCGGAGCTTACTATATGTTAGTGCTCAATACTTGTAGTCGTACGCGGCTGTCACTGTGTCTCTCTCTTGAGTGTTGTGTCGCATACATAATATACACCTGGAAGAGTCTATTGTGTAGGTAGTTCCGGTCTCACAATACTTACACTACCCATCAATTTTAATTTCAGTTTTTGTTTCA